TATGAGAATAGCAGAAATTTGAGAGGTCCCACTGTCTGGTTTTCTCGCCAAGGCGAGTGAAGAGCTCACTCAAGCACAGATTAGCTCGCTCAAGTGAGAGCGTATGGGCCTGGAGGGTATTTAAGGAATTCCAGCGCAGAGAAATGTTTATTTCTCACCATACAGCCTTTTTCTCTCATTTTCTCTTGGTTCTCTCACCTCTTTTCCTTAGTGAAAGCCTTCTCAAAGTTGAATTATTTTCCGATCAAAGTGAGAACATCTACCTCATCAAGATCTAGGTAAGTTTCTAGAGCTTAGTTCTCCATCTTTACTCTTGTTCTTTGTTTGCTCTTTCTCAAGAGATTTATACCATGTCGTTCTGAGAAGATCTGAACCATTCAAGTCGTATTTCATACACAAACGCTTGATCTATCTCTTTGGTTTATGCGATAGATAATCCCATTTAAACTGAGGATGAGTTGTTGTCTGAACAAGCTTTAGGGTAAAACCTAAAGTATGTATGGTTGAGTATACTTCTCTGTTGTATGATAAATGTTTGGACTGCTGTGGTAGAAGATGATGTGCTGAAATATTGTGATAAATGTGCGGAGAATATTAATATATGTGGAAATGTTTAATTAATATTTTGAGCTGCTTAGTTTCATTGTGTAATATGTACTGAAATGATTAATTAATACCGCAAAATGCTTGATTTTGCTGTGAAAATATATATATATGGCTGTGTTGTTAAGGCTGCATGCAAGTATGCATTGTTGTGTTGCTAAGGCTGAAAATACATTTAACTATGTCGTATTATGTTGATTTAGCTTTGCTGCATCACATACATCTTCATCATTCTAGAGCTAAATAGGACATTGAGCTGTACTTGTCTGGATCCAGATATTGGGATGGATCGCTCCTACACTGGAACAGTTCCTCTGGATTACTTAGGCTGTGAAACCAACTGGAACTGAATCGCTATATTTGCATTAGATGGGCTAGGAATGGGCTGAACATGCTGCATAAATTGATTGAAGTTGTTGTGCTGATTACTATAAATTATATGAATTGTACCAATAATTTTAATATTTTCATACTCTATGGCTATGATTCTTGTTTATATAAGCTCACATTTGCACTTGTTTGTTTTGTCCTGTGTGTGCTATGATGATCGTACGGTGGTACGTGAGCAGAAGTAACAGGTGGAGTGTACACTTTCCATGCTAGAGAGTCTACCTAAGGAGTAGTCCGGACTGAAGATTTTGGAGATATGTAGCTTAGTTTTAATAGTCTAGGTTTTAGTATGAACTTAAATCACTTGACTACAAATCTAATGTTTTGATGTAATTATTATGCAAAGACTTTGTATTTTGAACTCCATTTAGAGCAAATGTTGTAATTATGTATATACACTTATATAGTTGTTGAATTATATGAAAATGCCTTTGGAGTTTTATTATTCTACGAATTTGGGTGTTAAAGTCAAATTTTCTTTTAAAAATTATATTTTTTGTGATGTACTTGTACTATCTCGTTAATGAAATTTATATTAGAAGCAGTAACGCATGATGTCATTGATCCTTTATAAAAAGGGGTCACATCTGAACTCAATCCAAATCTCATATTTTCACTAATCATGTCATCCATTCAAGAAACTATAAGCATATATCATTTAATTTTCCAACTCAAAGAATCCTGCTTCAAAACTCATATTTCAAAAGTAGAGCATGTAACCACTCACAAAGGCAAAAAGTATATATGAAATTTATATACATCATATAAGCATAATTTTGTTGATGGGATAGAATTATCCTTACCTTGAGTGGATGATTCATGTAGAAGTTTTGGGTGGAAGATGTTGTCCAAAAGACCAAGTTTTTCCTAAACATTACAAAATAGAGTAAACTTTTGAGAAAAAGAAAATGATGAAATAGAAGGAAGTATAAGCTCCAAGAAACTTATTTGAGATCAAGTGGAAAGGATATCCAAGCTCAAAATCAAGAGAGATTTTGAGAATAAGGGTGTTTTGTAGCTGTGGAAGAGAGTGAGATGGGAATAGTTATTTTTCTTGTGATATAAGTTTTTAAAATGATAAAATCACTTAAATACTATTTTTCTCAAGAATTCTCGCATGAACAAGGGAATTCTCGCTTGAGTGAGAAAAACAAATGAAATTTTCTACTTAGTTGCTGATATTTTTGCTTAAGCTAGATCATTCTTACTTGAGCGAAACCCTTCTAGAGAGATCTTATTTCTATTGCCCATTTTTACTTAAGCGAAACATTCTTTGCTTAAGCAAGGTATTTCTTGCTTAAGTTAGAATTTCTTGGTTGAGCTAAAACACCTTTTTTTTAGAAACTCTTCTATTTTAAAAACAAAATACAATAATAAAAATTAGGGTGTTACACTCTTATTAAAATTCTTTGTTTTTGCTATTTTAGTAGGCAAAGGAGAGAATATGACAACATACACCAGGATTTATCATCTAATGTTAACATTAACTAGTTTTAATTTCATTCCTTAGAAGTGTGACCCATTTATATAATAATTTTAGTCTAACTATGTTTAAATATTTCTAGTTCTAAGTTCTAATATTTGGTTATAATATTATATATAAACATTTTAAATTTAATATCATAAACAATAAGTAATATTTACTAATATTAGTCTACACTGTACAGAATTATTTATCAATCTAATTCTTTCCTGGGGTGCTATCATCCTAGTTTCCTGAAAATTTTAGTAAGGATAAGCATCTATTCTATCATTTTACAAACCATATTACAAGAAATCATAGTAATGACATAAAAGAAAACAATCATTTCAACAACCGATTAATAGAACAACACTCATCACATAACCACAACACATGAATTTGTTATAAATCATTTAATTTCCCTTCTTCAAACATGCACTGCCAGTGTACTATGATCACAGGAAAATAATGTCTCTAGCATTTCTTAAGGTCTTACTCAACTAGGTAAATAGTTACCAGTTAGCTCATGCACACGACCACAATGTATACAATAACGGATTCCTTAGCAAAGGTATAGTGTATACACATAGCCCATGTGACGCATTTGCTTTCAAAACGAGTGTATACATATATGCGAATGTCGCTTACCACCCTACGTTTCTCCCAAATTTTCCATCATCTCTGACTCTATACTCTAATGTATCTCTGTAACTATTCAAACTAAATTCATTCCATATTCAGCACTTATACTCATTTCATAAACCTTTCATTTTCTAGTCATAAGATCGTACTTAGTAAAGCACTTCTGGACTAAGTCTACCTCCCTCATAACATTACATGCAATTTCCATAATCAAGTCATTCACATATTATCCATACAATCTGAACATTTCAATCAATAGATACACGTCACATCCAGTGCACCCAATATACATCATCATGTTTCTATATAAACACAACATAGGCACCCAACCAACCAATCAAACATATATCACTCAAACATATATTCTCAGTCATGATCATATAAACATGTCCTCATGAACACAAAATATAAACTTAATTAAAATGATAAAATAGAGCTCTCCGTACCTCGAGGTGAGTATTCAAAGAGAGATTGATGAAGATTATAGTTCAAAAATAGAAGTTTTACTAGGTATCAAAAGATATCCTTGAGAAATGAAAAATAAGATAAACGAATGGAGAAAATGGAGTTAAATCTAAAGAAACTTACTTGGAGTTGCTTAGATTTGACATCTAAGTTCGTATTTAAGGAGTGATCGGAGTTTGATGAAGTTTTATATGAGAGGAGAGAGTGAGAGTTCAGAAAAAGTTGAGAGAAGACGTAAGGTTTGGAATGAAATGAAATTTTTATGCTGAAAATCTTTTAAATACCCCTCAATCCTAGCCCTCTCACTTGAGCAAGGTGATTCTTGCCTGAGTGAGACATATCTCACTTGGGCGAGAACACCAAATAGTGATCTTTTCAAGCATTTTCTAATATTTTTGCCTAAGCGAGGTCATTCTTGCCTGAGCAAGACAATATCAGAGAGTTAGATATTTTTCGTGTGAGTCCTCGCCTGAGCAACTCAGCTCACCTGGGCGAGATCTCTGCTTGCTTGAGGGAAATTGCCTCTCGCTTAGATGAGAGGACAGTTAGTCCAAGTTTATCCCTTCTCGCTTGAGTGAGACTCATCTCGCCTGAACAAAATTGTCTTAAAAATATGGAATTCTAGACGTTTCAGCAAGACTCTCTGTATCGAAACTTTAACACACTCATTCAATCAATTTAAAACATAACCCAATACCACCACTATTAGAACAATTTATCAAACAATAGATAAATAAAAAGAGGCTGTTACCACTCTTTCACCCTTTAAAAAATTTCGTCTACAAAATTTACTGATTCACTCATTCAATCAATTAACACATATATTTTAATTTTGATATGATATTTTATATGATATTACATATATTTTAATATTAATTATTCATAACTAAATCTAGTAGTAAAATTTATCCCTATCACTTTCGCACCAAACTTTTTTCCTTTGATACATATACATATAGAGAGATAGAGGGAAAGTTGGAATTATTTGTTTTATATTTTGGCCGTTTAGTTGTGCTAAAACAATGGTAAAAAGATAGAGAACTGATCTCGCTGTTTAAAGCTGCGAAGGCTTCAGAAATCGGAAAGAATACTGAGAATCAAACTAGTACATATCTACAGGGAATTTGGGCATTTGATCGCCTCCACCACGAATTATTTATTAGAGAAATACTAATTTAGTAATTTTAAGTGAAAAGTTTTAGTTAAAATGCATAATATTATATACTCTGATTTCTCCAACATAATTTTTAATAAAAAAATTATTTATTAATTTCTCAAATACTTCCTAAATACTCTCTAGGCATTGGTTAGTAAGACTCTAGGTTAAGTGAAAATAACGAACCGATTCCGCGTTCTGTGCGTATATTTCAATTGAATTAGGTTCCGCATTTCCAATTTGAATGCTTGTGAAAATGTAAACGCACAAACACCTATTTTCGCACCAACATGTTAAACAGTCTTTCCATTCAAATAACTGGCAAGTGCTGTTTTCACTTTATATACTACGAAAATATAAAGTTTATGTGATGTGAAGTGCAGAAAAATACACACTAATTATATATCAATTTGCACTTCTACCTAGCACATACAGTCAACAAATATTCCCACATCTCATGCTTTTCTTTAACAATTGGTCTCTTCTGTCCCACTAGACTTCTTGGTAGTGTCTCTTATCCAACTACAATTTGTGCAAAATTTGCAAATCAATCAAGACGAACAAATTTTATTGCCATCTTCCAAAATAATTGCAGTAGGACCCACCAATCAACAAGCAGCTCTGAAGAGGTCATTTCGACTCAACTTTCAAGAATTTGTTGTATAATTCACTCAAAATATACAGATATCGGCCCCCCACTGTCTTGAGGAGGTCACAAGAACAAAAAGTAACTCAACCGTTGACATGTTACCCATGGATATGGGGTTGGAATGTGGTGATTCTTTTTTTACCTTGGTGGCACAGGGAAACAGCTTCATAATCCATCCCAATACCTGGTGAAGACTTTGGTTATAACAATTACATGTCCAACATAAATCCAATCAAAGAAGTTTGCTGGTTCTCCGTCTTGAAGGTCCACCAGGAAACAGCTTCATAATCCATCCCAACACCCTTTCGACAACCTAGTACGAGAAAAAGAGATATCAATTCCTTTATTAATTTCAAGTTTTATAATCCTTATAATGTTTATGATCTAGTCTACTCCAGTAATAGTTTTTCAGCATAGAATAGACCAACTACTTCCACCCACAACCATATAGCCTAGGTCTCTAATGTTTACCTGGACATTGCACTATGTGAGGCTTTCGATTACAAAATAGAAAAATGGGATTCGTAGAGACAATAGAAAACATGATGCCTAAACTAAACTGAACATGGGTTACCTCGTCACCCTCATCTGCATATGGGGTGTTCTCATACATAACATGAGAATCTGGTGGTTTTGCAGAAATATTTTCATTAACCATACTCTGAGCAGTCAAAAGCTCTAATCTTTGTGTCTGGACCTCAAGTTTTCGGGACAACTCCTTGTTTATCTCCTTCAATCAGGAAAAGAAACAGCAGAGATTACACGGTTAGACTAAGATATAATTAGAATACAAAAACAGACCAGAATGTGACAAAAACTCAACCAAGAAAACAAAATTAAAAGTTGACTGAAAAGTGAGACTGGACAAAGTTTTCAGAAATATCTGCCTTTTCAGTTCACAAAGATAACTGCATTTGTCAAGGACCAAACTCTCCTAAAAGTTTAAGCTGTTTGCACATGAATGGCTTTACTACACCTCTAACAACGCCCTCATGCAATAGCCATTTGAGCTTGATCTGTGGCTAACATATCTGCCCATTTCTTACTAAATGCTGAAATTCAACTCTTTGTTTGAAGAATGAGAAGGACAATAAACAAACACTTTATTACTTAGGAAGCTTTGATACATCTCAATGACTGATTCTCATTAAAGACTAAGTTGTTTATCAAAGGATTATGAATGGCTTTATTACATCTATAGTCAGTAATGCAGGAAGTGGCATTACCACCAAAACAAACAAAACAACAAAGACTAAGCCTTATCTCACTAAATGAGGTCGGCTACATAAATCACACGATGCCATTGAGCTTAGTCACACGGCTACATGGTAATGCAGGAAGTGGCATTACCACCATCATAAAAAAAAAGTTCATGTATGAAACAAAGACTAAAGGAAAGGATAAAAGACAAAGAATAGACAATCCCTAGGCAACATTTTAAATCCAACAGAGTAGGACTTTATCAAAAGAATCACCTAGAAGAAACCTATAATTTGCTCTTACAAACTGAATATATAAGCAAGAAAATAAGTACAACAAGAGAAGACATCCTTCATATCAGAAAAATCATAAAAACAGGAACAGAGGAAGTTCCGAATTCAGAATTGCTGTCCAATCTGTCCGCACAGCAAACTTGGCTGAAACAATCATAGGAGGAATACTAGAAGCCAAAAACAAAATCCTACCCTACATAATAAAACTCAAGGGAAAGAAAACACCGATAAACAGGATAAGCAGATGCACACCACAGCGTTTCTGACTCCTTGTTTTTACTTAAAATACTGCATCAAAGAAAATCAAATATTGATGACTAAATTACCTTCATCCTGGAACATTCAGATGATTCAGATGCCAAGGTTCTTATCAATTCTTCTTTCTCCAATGCCAGCTATACATGAAAAAGATAGACAGATGAATATGCAGCCTTGTTTGATCACACAATATCACCCTACTCTGATAATACATATGGAACCAGGATGGGTATAACAAGAAATTTTCCAAACAGTAATGAACAATGAGAAGTAGTATATATTATTGAATTTTCAACAGACCATATCCTACCTCAGAAATAAGTGCATTAATGTTCTCAATCACTCTCATCTGATCATGAGGAATATTCAAAGGAGAAACTCCAAAAGATAAGTTTCCGGTTTCAGGAACGGAGGACAAACTAGAGGCCTCAGCAGCATTATCATTGATTTCTGGGTTGGAAGAGTTGGAAGCAGGATCTTCGTTTGCTGCATTACATAGATATATAAACACAACTAGAGACACTAAACAAGTAAAAATACTCACAGTAATTGGGAGTTCGTTAATCAAGTATCATTTGCCCGTTGTAACTCATGAATTAAATCCAAATCCTTGGATGAAGAAAACAACATATGATCCAAAAATTCTTTTTTACTAGTATGTAGTGTGACCTAAACCAAATCAGGTGAAGTACCAACAAGTTTAATATTTGATGTAAAAATCTCAACGAGTACAAGTTTATGCATGCTGGAAAGTTCTGATACCAGATACTGGTCAGGTACACATGTAGAAGACATTCTTGCAATATGTTATAGAAAAAAAATATAATGAAATAAAAGAACCTACGAAGGTATATTACATCACATATTCATATGCTTAGTCTCCATAATGCTAGAACCCAACAACAATAGCTTTAGAGACTCGTCATTTTCTTTCTTTCTTTTTTTCTCGTTTTAAGCATATTATGTTAGTGGATACACAATAGAAGCATTTCATTGTCTTACTCCCACTTAGAATTATGGAATAACAAAAACAGGCTTATATATCAATTGATAACCCATGAAGAATAACAAGAACAGACAAGTTAATGACAATAACTGAGGAAACAAACCTAAATCCTCTGTAGACGTAGAAACATCTATTTTACTAGTTTGTCTCTCAATAGACTTTGCAATTCCTGAAGCCTTTCGCAGCTTAGACAGCAACATCTTCTTTTCTGTATCAGTACAATGGAAAAGAAAGAACATGAATTCCTGAGTTCATATTTGACGCAATTCAAACAAACTTTGCTTGCAATTTCAAAAGAAGATTAGCCAAATTTTGTTTCAAATTTAGTGGCCACAATGAATGGTTAACTAGCATTTTTTAACATCTCTCTAATATTTTTCTCTGTTAAAAAAATGTAATTCAAATTGAAATAATTACATGATATCCCCCTATAAAAAAAGTAGAAAAGAACAAAAAATCGACTTATATATATGTAAAACCATCAACAATTCAAGTCCTTGAAAATATCAAATCAGAGAAAAGTTTACATTTCCATGCAAAAGACTGCATTTTTTGTTCTAAAAAACAACTATTAGAGAATACAAGAGTAAATATAAAGAGTTACAGATATCAGACTTGACAATAGCATAAAGATAAAACAAAGCACAAATTGGCTTTTCAATACAAATAAAGTGTTAATCACCAAAGTGAACCTGACGATAATAATGACTCCTTGAACACACAAGCATTTGCCTCTAGCCAAGTACACTAAAAACCAGCGGGGTAGAACATTACCCACAATAATGCAATAACATAAAGAGGCAAAGTATTCAAATGATTGGAATTTGGAAAATCAAAAGACAAAAAAAATAGATAGAAGCATAAGATATTAATATATGATTATTCTTGTAAGCACAAGCACATCCACAAACTAGAGTATTTTAAATGGAATTAATTTGAGATCTCAAGAACCGAGATAGACTTAAGACAAGAAAACCCAAAAACACACCTTTTTTTTTTGTAATTTTCATTTCCATTGCTATAGTTAATATCCTCTCTTAACTTTCATAAGCATCAAATAAGTGAAAGCACTAACCTCCAACTTTAAATGAAACATTAAAAATAAAATTCATGTGAATCCAAATGCACAAAGAAAATACAGTTAAAGCTCGATCACCTTCTTGAAGAGCGTCAATGGTCGACTGCAAATCATGGCGCTCTTTGTCTAGGCTAGACATTTTCTTTCTGCAATATTTATTATTAGCCATTATTTTGATAAACCCAAATAAAGGAACTATTTTTCAGTGCCCTAGAATCAACAAAAAAAGGAAATGAAGAGCTGATATCAAATCAAATTCCATCAGAATGAAGTAAAATTACTATATTAAAATTAAAAAAGCAAGATTTTTTGAAGGTTCAGAAAAAGTAATTATAGAAAACATGTTGTCATATCTGGCTGCCGATCCAACATTGGATTAGGGTCATTCTGCCAAAAAATAAATCACTTTGAGTGAGAAGTAAATTATGTGTCCCTATCCCCCAATCACCAAAAATTACACATGGGTGAACTGAACATTCCCAAGCATAAAATTCATTGTCTCAAAAATAGCTCTATAAAATTCTTTGCATACAACAAGCAATTTGATTAGGAAAAGAAAGCAGATGAGAACCTTGAGTTGAGGAAAATAAATTCTCATACAAAGAAAAAAAAAGTAGGAGTAATTATTTTCAAAATTAGTTCTTCCAAAATAAATTGCACTCAAGTAAACTCTACACCAATTACTCAAACATGCACGAAAAGGATTTTCTTAGAGCTAGGCAGACAATCAAGGATAATGGATGGCATCATTTATCTCTATTTTTCTTCTTTTCATTTTTTGGCTCAAATATCATACCACCTCTTCAAACTCAGTACCAATGACCTATTTCAAATTTATTTCATTATTTCCCCGCCCAACACTTTCAAATATTCTGCAAGACCAATCACCATCAAATTTAGATATTATTAACCAAAATGTCATTAAAAAAAAAATGACATCAACACAAGAACTTTTAGTTGCAAGTCCACCTGCAAGATTATAGTCCAGGCTCAAACAGACATTTGAACATAGATACCTTTCAAATAAATGACATCATTTCAGGCAGAAACCATGTTTGAACATTCAACAAATCTCAATCTTATCATATACAGTTATTCATTTGCTGCATACTTAAAACCTTAAAACTACCTGTTTGAAGAAATTTCTGCTTGTGCATTTTCCAACTGCTTCTCAAGCTTTAGCTCGCTAGATCTTAGTCTGAGTGCCTAAAAAGTTTATTGAACCCAATAACAAATTAAAGTTATAATTTATATATTTCCTGAACCTATATGCAATAAGTCAATAATTTGTGTCCGTTGTCACATAAATTACTCAGCACTACATGTTCAAAAATGGATGCAGAGATAGTTTTATTAAACAAGTCAATTTTTTAGGGCTTGAAGCATGGATATTGGATTGGTCCAATTTACCTTTTATCGAATTGAATTTAATTATAAATTATAAAAATGGTGTTAGCACTTCATTATAAAGGCTTTATTAATAAATCAAATAACAATACCAATTTTCCTAAAATCCCACACTATTAGGTAGAGGCTCATGAGTCATAAATGGTTTATATCTCCAACAATAACAACCACCAAACCTTATCTCATTAAGTGAGGTCGGCTTTAATAAATGGTTTATATATCCATTCTTTAAAATTCTTATATTGGTAATTTGTTGTGTGTAATTTATCCACAGTACAATCAATTTTTTTCTGACACATGCAACAAATAATCCAAGCTATTATATTGTCTGAGTCCTTAAATACATCATAAGGTTGCCAAACTCATATCCTACCTAGGATAAGATAAAGGGGTTGACAAGTAGAACATGAGATTAATATAAAATTAACATATATATGAAAGTACCACATATAAGCAGAACAGATATAATAGAAAAACACTAAAATAATCTTTTAAAACTATTATATGACATAACTTTTAAAATTTCTGGAAGTTATATATTGAACCTTAGAAGAACCACACTACAAAAACAAGCCGTTGTAGTTGCAGAGTCTAATGCCTTATAAACCCCATATTTAGAATCTCATACTTCCAATGTGGGACTCAAGTCCCATACCTTGCAACTGCATCCTAAAATTCCACCAAGCTCCCTGACACCCCATGTAGGCTTGCTGTGCACTAGCCCCTTTGACTCGTCCAAAATTAAAATTGAAATGCTAGTAGCATCACCAACCACACTGCCGCTTTTCAGCTATGAGACATGATAAAAGGCTCTGATACTAATTTATAAGAACCTTGGGACAACACAACACAAAAGCTAGCTGTTGTAGTTGGAAAGTCCAAGGCCTTATAATTCCCACATTACACTCCCATACCTCCAACGTGGGACTCATGTGTCATCCCTATTCCCTTGCAATTGGATCCTAAGATAGACCTTTTTGAAAGTTTTAATTAATCTCTACAAAGTATTTAATTAATGTTAACTTCCACAAAAGTTTTCATGAAAATGCTTAAACAAGGTTGGATGAGTCACAGAATCATGAAACTTACTAGAACGCACATACAATACAAGATAAACATTAAAAGAAAATATATATATATATATATATATTCAAAGATAATTATTGAAAATTATGAATAATTACAGTAAATAAAGCTAAATAAACAGCTATTATAGGGATCAAAAGTAGACCCAATAGTTTTAAGGCAAAAAACAATATTGTAGTTAACAATTAATAGAATAAAGAAAATAGCCACAGCACAAAAACATAGCTAAACCAGTACAGATCATAGCTAACAATCCTGAACAAGGAGCAATTCATGGTGCAACCAACCCCAAAACTGCTATAGCAGGACGGCCGACACTATATTGAAATTTCAAATATAAGATAAATAATCTATATATTATACATATATCAATGTCTGAATATAAATATTCATTAATAATAATTATTAATATAAAAATATAATCTCCTACAAACCCAAGTCAAAAACAATGAAAAGAAAGGGCAGAGAACAGAGCAGACTGCATAAACTATGCAGAAGCAGCAGAACAGAGTAGAGGCTGGTCAGGAAAACAGGAAAAATAAGAAGGCCAGTCTGGCTTAGTCAGAGACCATGGTACAAACAAAGGCATTTCCAGCTTTTGCACATGAATGGATAACAGTTTCAGGTTTATTCGGGTCATTCGGGGACCATGGTGGATAACAGTTTCAGGTTGATTCAGTTCATTCGGAGACGGAGCATCATCAATGCTATTTTTGACTGGTTTCTTGGATAGTTAGAACTCTCAATTCTACAGATTTTACCTGACAGGATGCTGTCCCAACAAGACAAGTTTTTTGCTGAGTCAGGACCACTAAAGCCCTTCAAACACATAAATATGCACAATTCTATGTGTTCACGCTAGACACGCAATTTTGACAACCATGTATCACATAAATTATATCTCAAGATTGAAGCAAAAAAAAAAAAAGTCAATTTTGCAAGAATTAATAATACAATGGATTTGACTTACATGTTTCACTAGTTCAAGTCATTTCATGATTCCTTTAGAAAATCATTAGAAAAAATTAACAAAATTCTCTGAAGTTGTGCTTCACATTTGTTTCAAATAACATTGTAGTTGTCAACTAATTAAAGATAATTGTAAAGTAGTTTATTATATGTCAGAAAATTCCTCATCATGATGAAGACATAAAATTCCAAATAAGTTACGGGGACTTAAATTCAGATAAGGGATGGGAAAAATATTTTATCCTCAAAAGTAAACAAAATCACACAACATACCAAGAAAATTCAGTACCTTCTCTTCTAAACCAATAACTTCAGATGCCAATAACTTGGCACGCTCATCAGCTGCATTACACTCTAGTCGTGCATTTGTATATTCATTCCTGATAGACTCAAGCTCAACCTGCTCAACCCAAAAAAATCATCAATCAATGAGGTAGAAAGTTTAACTTCTACCACACTCAGCTTAAGCTTATAGAAGGCAACTCTTGTTGGCTCATGGAAAAACTGTATAAAAGGTACTTGATAATCATGAAAAACTTTTGTTGTTGTCACACCTTTCATAGAAAATATGGTGAGTCAAATAATCCTCTCATTGATGCACCATTTCAGGAAACCCAGGATGTCAATAAAAATAGATGGGCTTTATAAAAATGAAAACAGTTATTGTGTAAGCTAAAATAATTTATAATTTATAATTTATAAATATTCCAGACAAAAAGATACAAAGAGGCATCAAAGTAACCAACCATAAACTTTCTATTTACCAAAGACTTGGGTCAGGAATCACAATAAGCACAAAAAAAGCTGAATCCAACAAGTTCAGTATGCTTCGCTCAATTAGATGTGTGATTATCTCTGCATCAAGTTTTATACGAGGCTAAGTATATAACTTGAGTCCAGATTAATCGCCCTTATATATTCAGCTCAAAAGATTGTGAGCCAGCTTGATTGTCGATTGATGATATATAATATTTTTAACTTATAATAACTTTTCAAAATTTTAATAATAAAAAATTTTCAATATATGATTTAGTAATATAAATGTAAACAAGAGCATGAATGAATTTGCAAAGCCAGACTATGTATGAGTGTATAATGGAATACCAGCACAGCCAAAATAATTACGCAATGGGGGAGGGATTAGGGAGTTGATACAAACCAGTTGCGCTTTGATATCTTCCTGTAACATCTCCATGTCTGATTTTAATTGGTTGACAACACTTCTCTATAAAAACAAAAAGATTGTGACTTTCATATCCTTACAGACAACTATATTACCAGTAAAGTAAAAACATAAGCAGCAATTTCAATTCAACATCAGATTCTAAGTAATGACAAGATAATAAAGATCCAAGAACTAACATAATTACTAACCAAATATCCCAGACAAAGAAAAAACTAGATCAGCCTTGTGAGACATTTCCACTATATCCATAACCTATAACCAATTAAGTTCTTTTTATAAACCCAGAGACACACAGACCAAAATGTTTGAATGTTTGATTGTACATATCAAAGGAGTACAAGCAAAAACTCACTAACTTCAACAAAGTCAGCAATAACTGCTCCTATTATTGGAAACCTAATGTTCTTCATAATTAATTATTAAATAGCTCAACATAAAATATGATAATATGCTGAATGGATAAACACATTACATTCTGGAATAACAAAATATACTTTATAGTTACAATAAAAATTGTCACTGCCAAGGGCATAGGGTTTAACATGAACATAAATCAATAACAAAACAATGTCATAAAAATTTAAAACAGCTTTTCAAATTTAATATTCTTCAAAATGGCATACAGTATCCATAAGCAAACCTGTTGATTATAATTATCAGTCAGAGTTGAATTTTCAGTAGCTAGTGACTCTGCTAATGCTTGAGAAGCCTCAAGAGCGCGTTGCAGAGAAAACTTTTCTTGTGTTAGATCTTCAATATGCTGCAGCAAAAAAGAGAGGAAAACATATAAACTAAAATAACATATTGGTTTTTCACATATAGTAAATGTATGGAAAAGCTAAGATGCAAGAAACATAAGTGCACTAATAACTCTTATCTCATACAAAGAACTTTGGCACCAACTAAACAAATTACAATTTTATTTTTAATTCATAAGAATTAGAAACTTTTGCAAGTAGATAGACAAACAAAATACCTGCCAAGCCAACACATAGGCAAAGTGTAATGTATGACTACAAAAGTTTTTCTCCCAGAGAAGAAAGGAGACAGAGAAAGGGTACAAAGGAAAAGAAGAAAAAAAAAGAATATATTCAGTTTCCATTGTTGTTTATACAACCAATGTAATACGCTTCCTACAATTTTTAATGTGAACAGCACAGCAGAAATGGGAAAAGAAACAAAAGAAATTCTGTATTGATTGCAATTTCAGTATTACAAAAGAGGAAATCCTCCCTTGTCCCAGAGCACAGCTCCTAATAGAGAAACTCTAAGGTTTCCTCTACTCAATATGAAAGCAAGATACTGAATAATGCCCCGTCACCTATAGCATGATGCTATATACAATATGCAATAACAGAAAAGATACTCCCAGTTTCCCTCCTCTAACAAACTCCTTTTCTACTTATGCCAACTTTGCCCCTTTCTTCCTAAGGGACTACACCAACCATTCCTTTGGGCTTTTCATTGTTTCATTGGCTAAAGGTTCTAAAGGCCCAATTTCGGTTTGGTTCCTATCACAATGTATAGCTGTTCTCATTGTTGTAACTCCAGTCATTAATCTAAAAAACTTTTGAATCCTACAAACCAGAGAAATCACCTCATAATTGACATATTAAAGAATCTAAGTGCAAAACCTCAATCCCCCACCCCCAATAATGAGATTCCAACTTATAATTACATCCCTAGTGCATAACATTACTAGTGTTCTGCTGTTAAAACTGATGAATGAATATATGATGAAGACTTATATGATATTGAGATTCTACTAGCTTGAACTAGACAAGCATCAACATAACAATCATGTAGGGTCATACATTAGCTCAAACCTACTGACATTCTTTTCACAACTTGTGCACAAAATTGTGTCAAAAAATTTCCACAACTCCAATTAAAAATTAGGTATATTTTAACTCATTTGGAATTGGCATATCACAGAAATCCCCAACAACGAAATACCTTAACAACCACAAACATTTCAGTACATAATAAATCAAGCGCAGAACTCAACTGTCATGTCTTAATTCATTTTTTTATACTAATTCATCACATACACAAAGCACTATAACATCATACAACAGGCATCAAGAAGGTAATGCCTTGACCATAGGTAGCAGAAACCACCTGTTCTAAAGCAGCAAAGTCTTCATTTTGTGGTGAGTAATAATGATGCTTCTTCTCCATGCCATTTTCATTAGCACTTATCATCAGTGCGTCTTGATTGCTATCATTAACAACTGAAGTGGTCTCAAGTGGACTATGAACATTTGTAGTTGTAACATTAGAGAAAAGTGGCACAGTTTTAGTCTCTTCCGATGGCTTACGGAAATATGTAGATCCTGATATATCATTGCTGCTTGACTGTAAATGATTGGACATAGAAGAGCCTAGCTCAGGCTGATTAAATGGAGGGCCTAAAGGAGGTCTGGTGACATTAAGAGAATCAAGAAAAGATGGACGTGACCTCCTAGAACTAGATTCCATTGACAATGAGTGTATTGGTGTATGGTTTGAGGAATTTCGTGCCTCATAACCTATGGAATCATATTTTGGTATTGTTGCACCATGAAGACTAGGCAAATCATTATCATAGCCTGTAATGGTCTCTCTAAACTTGGAACTCAAAGAATCAGAGAAACCTGGAATACAACATATATGATGCACAACCTCATCAGCATAAAGCACTAAGTCATTGTCAGGGTCAATGAAAATGGTAAAAGCACATATTATAAAAATTTGAAATTATAGATCAAAGAAAAAAAAATATCAAAATTTACCTCCAGTTAGCGAACTATGTGAATAGCCACCATCTAAAGAGCTAGAATTTGTTGGCTTGATTTGCTGCAGTGCATCAACAGAGTTCTGAGGTAAGATTTTTGAGGGAAAATATGAAGAGAAATTATCAGCAACCGCATAATCCTTCACAGAACTGCTACTCTTGTTTGACTGGCTGTCATTCCTTCCATGAATACTAGATTGACTAGTATTATAGCTATCAAAGTCTTGACTTACTTGTGCATGAAAAGGAATGCTTTGGTGTTTTGTTGTCCCATATCCACCAATACCAACAGCATGAATTCCATGTATGTCATTCACCTTATGTGTCTCATTGTTTTGACTAAAGTCTGCAGATACAGTAGCAGCAGAAGAATTATATCTCTTAGCTTCATCACTATTGGAATGTGCTTCCACCAGAGTAGTAGATGATGTACTAAGATCATTCCTTGCAAGACTTGTTCTACTGGCCAAAGACCCTTGATTACTTTGGCTAAACAAATTCAGGGTCTTGTCACTATTCCCCAAAGTTGATGCGTCAGTAAGTACTCCCCCAACACCATCAGATGCAGTAACTGCATCCGACTCATTAACGCGTACATTTTCAACTTCAGAAGGTTGTTTTTTATTGAAGCTAGCATCAGAATTGTGAACATGGCTAGAGGATCCAGCCTTCTTGGCCAGCTCCGCAGCTTTTTTTTTACGAAACTCCTCCAGCTGCAAGACCCAAACAGCATAATAATTTTTAGATATAATATAAAATGAAGAAAATAATGCAATCAATAGTCAAATTCATAGAAAATATATGAAATCTAACAGATATTAGATTGGATAGGGGGTCAAGGATCATATATATATGTATGTATGTATGTATGTATGTATATGTGTGTGTGCGCTTGAATGTATGTATGTAGGGAGAACAGTAAATCTGGACCATACATGGATGGTCAAAATTAAAAGTATGATTGTGGTCACATGACGGCTTAAAAAAGTCGGGTGCATTTTTCTTTTAATCCCAACCATTTGAAAAAAATCCAATGGTTTATTTTTATTGTTCTCATCATAGTAGTCAATCCCGGATAGTGGCACAGAGTGGCCAACCCAAAAAATGCTATAGCGAATAGTAGGAGGACTGCTATTCTGAAGACAATCAAAACAGAGAAGGAAAATAGATCAAAAAGTGTTCAATCACCGGAAAAAGCTCTAACGCAAACGGTCTCAACGGAAAATGTCTACATCTCATCGGAAATTCCTTAGGTTACACCAAAGATGAAGAAGACAATTGGAAAATGTCTCTACTTACATTAGAAATAAGTTGGGTTTCACCTGAGATGAAAAAGACGACTAGAACTTGGCCGAAAATAATGACTTGCACTAGACAAAGCAAGAATAGGAGAGAACAGAGATGGAGGTAGGGTTTGAGATGAAGAAGCATTCCAACTTTCAGAATGTCTCTACTTACATTAGAAATAAGTTGGGTTTCACCTGAGATAAAAAAGACGACTAGAACTTGGCCGAAAATAATGAGTTGCACTAGAGAGTGACGCTGGAGATAGAAGACAAAGCAAGAATAGGAAAGAACAGAGATGGAGGTAGGGTTTGAGACGAAGAAGCATTCCAACTTTCAGAAATATAAAAAAGGGGGTGGGGGGGAGAGAAATCCTAAGATTGCCCCCTTTAAAAAGCATTCCAACCTTTAGAAAGGAGGGCAAACTTGCCCTTTTGCCCCTGTTTGACATTTAAAAGGACAATTTTGCCCTAGGATGAAATAGCGGCGGTTATGGCTTCTATTGACTACTATGGTTCCCATCCTCCCAATAATCAAGTGTTCTCACCTGAATTTTATATATATATATATATATATATATATAATAAGATAAAAAACTTAAACATCAACTCGTAAGGCCATACAACATACATAATTCATAAAACTAGTAGCAACTTAAATGGACAGGCAGAAACAGCCACAACCATAGACAGAATCAAGGGACAGAGCAGAGCAAAGAACAGCAGCAGCGTCACACAGTAGCATGACAAAACAAGTTGTAGGTTGCAGAATGACACTTTGCAGGTTGCAAAATGAAGCTTCGCAAGTTGCAGATCGCAGCTCACACAGAGACCAGAATGGGTATTTGGGTGCTGATATTCGATGGGAATGAATGGGTGAGCAGTGGGTAGGAGAACCGAAGCAGTATGTGGCAGGGATGAGGGTTTTTTGTGTGTTTAGGGTTTGATTTGGTCCCATTTGATTTTAGGCTTCAGGTGTTTGTTTAACAAATCAGGTCACAGGTTTTATGGTTTAAAATAAAAAATCAGCCATGGCAGAATTGAATGTTTCTACCGAGTTTACAATCCCGCACATCGATTTCGTATGATCCCACAAGAGAGCAACTTCACATGCGATTCAGCACAGCCAGGTGGATGGAGATCATAGAATCGTGCAATTCTACAAGCCCGCAAATGATTTTAACTATTATGCACCCAATAGCATGGGCTTTTGGCATAGTTATTGACATGGTATCCAAGCCTCTATGACCATGCAATCTAGAGTTTGATCCTTGTATACCAACCTTACTCTTCTAAAATAAAAGTTAAATTTCAACATAAGTAGGGGTGGGCTTGAATTAAAAAGTTCAAGATTAAGAGAAAAAGGCATAACTTCAGGTATTTAGCACCCAATTAATAGGAAAATATTATTCTTTAAACATATGAGAATCCTATTTTAAAGAACATGATCAATATAACAACATTATGATACATTAATTAGTTTATTATTGTTGGTCTATGGTATATTTTTTTGTAAATTTATCAGTCACCAAATGGGCATGTATTATTTGTGATACTGAGTCTTATTCTAATGAACATGTTTTTGTTATGGATTAAGAAAGTAGGAAATATCATTTGTTTTTAATAGGAATAGGATTCTATTCTTAATTTACACTAGGATAAGCAAAAAAAGATTGTCAATCAGATGAAATGCCTTTTCTTCAAGGGAACAATAATCACTATTACAACATTACTAGTGAATTGCTTCCCTGGTAGTATGACGAAATCAAACACAAGATGCAAAGCCAAAGAAGATGATGGGTGGGTGTAAAGACCAGGCACTGCTGAGACCAGCTAGTAAATATTAGGTTATCAAGTGCCAAATAAACGCAATAAAAAACATAAGTGTGGCTTAGATGAAATGATGAATACTACAACGGATGAATAAACATGCTAAAATGATAACTAAATTTCTAAAAGGGGGGAAGTTACTCTCCAAGATTTTTCCTTTTTCTTTTACTTATCAACTAAACACAACAACTAAATCCTGAAAAGCTTACTCCTCTGAAATTTCTCCCCATGTCATCCCTAAAACAAAAGATAGCAGCTTAAGAGGTGATAAATTCATATATTGCTGCATTTATAGTTAGTTTTCTAGGATCTTTTTAATAGAAAATTGTAGTTTGGAAGATGAAAACCTTATAAAAAAGATAATTGTTTAATAAATTCAATTTTTGTTTTTAATAATTCAAATTGTTTGGATTTAATAGAATTCTTATGTAAATTTTGTTGTTGAATTAGTTTTGCACGATTTTCTAAAGAAAAACACGAGTTAGAAGCATTAAGAGATCAAATATGATGAGCATAATCACTTTGGGTGCAGAAAATGAATATTCCAGAGATTTGGAGAGTCCAATATGATGGGTGTAATCATTTTCACCATCAAAAGTGAGTATTGCAAAGGCTTTTAAGAGGATATACAATGCGCATAAGCACTATTATCACTGTAAGTGAGTCTTGCAGAGGCTTAAGATGAGAAATACCCTGCGCGTAATCACTCTTTGTGCCAAGAGTGAGCCTTCCAAAGCGTTAGCAATTGAGAATGGCATGGCATGCACCTAAGCACTTTTACAATAAAAAAGTGAAAGTTCTAGAGGTTGTCACGAGAAAGAGCTTGCACACACTTTGGCATCCAAAGTGGTCAAGCCAGAAGCGCGGAAAACTTATAAATAGCCTTAAACTCATATTTTGAAGCAGATTTTCTCATTTTTTTTCTTTTTCACACTCTTAGAGAGCAAGAGAGAGAGAGATTTGGGGGCAAATTTCAAGGCTTAATTCCTGGAAAATCAAGCTTAGGACTTGGATTCATGGAGATCTTTTGCACATTTTCTTCTACTCTTTCTTTCTCTTATTTTTTTTAAAATCATGTTCTGAATTTGTTTTGTTAGGGATTGATGGATCCTAGTTAAAATTTGTAATTGATTGTAGATCTGAGTCCTAGGTTCTTAATTATATTGAACATTCATTTCTTTCCTTAATGCAATTCTTGAATTAGTTATTCAATTAAATTAAACTTAGAGATTTTATATCAATGGAAGTTAAGTGAACATCTTAGATCTGAATTGAATGTCAAAATTTATTATATCTTAAGAATAAGTATTCATTATCGTGTGGTCTCTTAATTTCTCATGCTTAATGTAATGTTTGATTGATTTACATTAAGAAATTAGGGTACTTCATTAGATATTAGGATCATTGAATCAAGGAATTGAATTTTGATTAACTTAGTGCAATTGATCATCAATCAACTAAGGAACTTCGGAATTCAGATCGCAATCAGTTTTGCAATTGAAGAATAGATGGAATTAACCCTAACTTCATTTGAATAGTAACTTCCTTTTGAAATTATTCACTTGTTTGCTATTTCCTTCTATTTTACTGCACTTGCATGTTCTTGTCTCAAACATTCAAAACCTTATCAAATATTGCTTAGCTCAAATAGTTTTTAATCTTGTGAATTGATAATTGATTGTATCAATCCCTGCAAACGATACTCAAAACTCACAATTTTGTATTTTACTATTTACTACAACTACTTAGCACACTTACTAGATAGGATTCTTAGAACACAAGAAGAGACTATGAAGAAAATTACAACTTGTAACCACAAAATTGGACCCTCAAGCAAGTTGCAAATAGATTGCTTAGTTCTTTCCAACAGTAGAATAGGCCTCCCTCTCACATATACTCAGAGGCAGGAACTCCCCTGCCTTAGTCCGGGCCTTCAACCATCACAAAGGACTGACATGCAATATACATTTCGATATCGCACATTCATCTTCCCCACAATCATTTTCACTATTTCCTGTCATTTATTTACCATTTCACATCCAATAAGCCAAGCAATCCAAGAGCTACAAAAATGTTCATTATGGGAAGAAAAAAAGAAAAATAAAAATTAAATTATATTCGACCACAAAAATAAAATTCTATTCCAAACCAAACAACTGACATTGCTCTCACATGCACAAGCAAAACATTATAACAACATAAAAACAGCATTAATCAAATCAATTACCCAATACCCATTTCGTAATCCTCAACAAGCTGAGAATCAGAACAAGAGGAAACAAAAAATCAACTCAAATCAAATACATACCCGGCGCTTGCCAGCTTCCAGATGCTCTTGCTTTCGCGACGAAGCAGCGGAGTTTGGCAGCACCTGAGCCGACGCCATTAGAGAACCGCGAACGATCTCGAAGGAAAAAAAAAAAATCTACAGATTCAAAAGCTCAACGTACAAATTGTCATCACCGTTTCAACGAATCCAAATCAAACAACCACAACCCCAATATCACAAGGGATTTCCCAGATCGCAGAAATTGGGAACGAAAACGATGCAAAAATGGAAGATAAAAATCAAATTGATAAAATGGGGAAAAATTTTAAAAATTGAGAATTGAAACGTTGAGAGAAACAAAGAATAGAAATTCTCTGCGGCGCGATGGGTTTCATACAGAGGGAGCCCGATCTGACCGGGGGGAGAGAGATTTGGTTTTGGGGTTTTTTTTATTATTGTTTGGGTTTTTCTTTTTCTTTTTTAATTTTTTGGCTCTCTTCTCTTTTTGAATTTTTTTTATTTAAGGGTTCGTTCAGGTTTCAGGTGTAGGTGTGTTCTAATTTGGGGGAGGTGATTAAAATGACGAAAGAGGACATGTGGATGCTTAATGCTTCGGAAGACACGTGCACTGAGTTATTTTCAAATTTTAAATTCACTCCACTGATAATAAGCAACGTTTGTCTGTGAGGATGTTGACAGAAAAGTACCATTTTAAAAGTTTAATTTTCAGTAAATTTTTTTCTTTTTTATTAATTAAAAATTTTATAAATATAAATTTTGAATTAATAACTTTTATTAATATAATAATCTACAATTAGATGGTAATGTTAATATATTTTAATTAATTTTTAATTTTAATTAAGCATATATTTTATGATTATTTTTAATGTTTATTAATTAATTTTATAAAAAATTATTTTATATGATTACATTTATTATTAATTGAAAATTTTAAGTAATAATTAAATAAAGAAAGAAAGTAAAAGTATAAATTGATTAAATAATTAATTGAAAGTAAATTAATTTAATATAAAATTCCATAAGACATGCATAATTTGATCCATGTACATTGGATGAAGGAATTCTGAATGCTATTTATGTCATTATTAATTTGGTAGGCATTGGAAATAATTGTAGTGATGCTGCTATGCTGGTGCTTGTACCCGTGAAAACATGTTGGTTTAGATCTATCCACACCTCCCAGAGTAGCAAAAAAGAAAGTATCAACTACACTTTGCTGCTTGATAATCCATTCCATCCATTTAAGGAGCATGAAGAGCAGTTCAATCCCTTTTAATCTTCTTCTATGGTTCCTATATAGGTCACAAAGGGGGGCTGAATTTAGACCAATCACTATATTAAAACGAGGTCTCACCATTCTCCAATCTCAGTGAAAAGTTTGGCACAACACAGATGTAGCTTTTTGGACAGCATTCCACACAAGAGATCCCCTATTTGCTATATGATGAAGAATAATACTACCTATCTATCGACCCACAGTTTGTCGTGATTATGCATCATCTGCCACAATAACTTGCCCAAAAAAGTTGTATTTGTGGCTCAACCTTGCCTAATACTCAACCCACCAGCAAACTTGCATGGCATAGACAAGAATATATATAAGTACCAATGAAACTAAAGTGAGCTTTCTGCCTTGTTCAAGAGGTTTTTCTTCCGTGATGAAATTAAAATGCTCCTTTCTGACTGTGCCACCACTTATAGGAAAGGCAAGAGACTTTCTAATATTCCTTGCCAAGAGGTTTTTCTATTAATGTTAGTGATCTGCATGAACTTTCTCTTTTGGGAATTGGGATGAGGAATGCTTTTGGAACAAAAGGACTCAGATCTCTGCAAATTAACCTTAAGCCTAGATGTTATACAAAATTTATTCATGATAATAATTACTTAAATAATTGTGGTGCAAGGTCTCGTTGTGTTCATATATACGTGGTTGATCTATTTAATAGGAAATCATTTGTTCAAATCTTACCGTAAGTAAAATTCTAATGATGTTTGAATGTGAAGTGAAACAAGAATAACGAAGTGAAAGATGAAAAAGAGAGTATAAATAAAGTGAAAAATATTGTATATTTGCATGGGTTGAAAAAAGAAGAAATAAAATGATTAAAAAATAAATTCTTCTGCTTATTTGGAAGTATAAAAAAGAGAATAAAAATAAATAATTTATTTAAATTAAAATTAATCTAAAATTTATTTTTAATTATAACACTTTTTCTTAATGAAAATTTTATTTTTATATTTTTAATATTATATTAATATTTAAAAATTATAAATAAAAACTCCCCACTTCACCTCCCTCTCGCCCTATCACTTACCTCACTCTTTTCTCGCATCCAAACATAATGTTAGCGGTACTCTGACCAATGGATAGAAAAAATGAAACAGTATGTCCAATAATAAAATAATAATACCAAATTGTTGCAAAAAAATAATTCAATAAATATATTAATAAAATAATAATGAACTATTTATTTCTATTATTATTTCAATATTTATTTATTGTATATTCTTCCAAAGACTATTAATGTCAAATACCTAGCATTACGAATGACAAAATGAGTCCACTCAACCCACCTGATCCTACTAAAAAACAGGTTAAGTCTTTTTTTTTTTTTAAATGAGTTAAAAATAGTAACTCCTATTTTTAGAATTGTTTTAGGAGTTGATAGATTGACTAGTTTAAAAATTAAAAAATTAAAATAATATAAATTTTAAAAATAATAAAATACAAATATATTTATATATATAATATTAAAATTAACTTTTTACATCTATCAAATTTATACATGTAAGAATTAGGATATATTGAAATATTTTTTTGACTTATTTTTATTATGAATTTTAAAAAATTACCCTGATTGAACTCACTCCATTTAACACATTTTAAAATATGAATTAAACCAGAAGTTTGTCAACGGATTAAAAAATATTAGGGTTAAACCACCGAATTAAACCCATATTGCCGTCATTACCCTAGATCTCACCTAAAAATAATAGGACAAGACTGAGGGGTATAGAAGAAAAGAAAACAAAAACAACATGTTGAGCATAACTCTGACCATGTGAGTCTGAAAAAACTTTTGTCAAACTAGTTAATACGTAAAAAATAGAGTTACACGTACAGGATTGATTATTCTAACAACATCTAATTTCTTTACTACTTGAGCTAAATTATGTTAGCTTTTACTTTTACATGTGCCTTAGTACAAGAGTTTAGAGGAGAAAGAAAAATGAAAGTTTTTTTATTTTATTTTATTGGCCCATCTTTATTTTTAAATTTTAAAAAATTATACTATGTTCCTAAACTGATTAGAGATGATTGAAAATTTTTGAAGGTCTTTCATTAAAATTTAGTTTATTTATACTTTGAAAATTCTTATCTACAGGATTGAAAATAGAGTTCTAAATTCCTAATTTTGCCTGTAGCCTTTTCAGATTTTCTTTTTAAGTCTAGTTAGCTCATAAGACATTATTATCATGTTTATAAACCAATCACTTCTCTATCACCAAAGGGGGTAATATCAGAAAACGACAACATATATGATTCAGGCTCCTAGCCTCTAGGTTTCTCATTCCTCAAAACGATCACCTCAAACTTCTAATTAACACATATATAAGTAGAGTCAGGCATCAGTCCATTAACGGCTTAATAGATGTGATAAAAAATTTCAACTTCCAAGTGGGTTAAAGAAGTGTTAAATCAAACTACGTGCAATTTAAGGTATCTTCAGGCATTTCGTGCTCACTTCACACTAGTGACCTCGGAAATGTTAAGCAAGGAACATGAAAGATAGTTCAAATGCAAGTGGGTGTGAGAAATGTTGGACTTAACCCTTTACCCCAATTAAGTTTCCACCTTACTCCTGTAGAAATTCAGATTCAAAACTCCCCAATGACAAAATCAGAGCTAAGATTCAGTACTCCATACAAACTGTTACACATTTGACCTCTTCCCTCTTTTGACTTCGAGACTTGTTCTTTCCTCAGCCTACAACTTAAGTACACACCGTGCCCTTTGCCAATAATGTACATTTATCCTTATACATTAGGAGGAGGTGGGATTCCCAGCAAGAAGAACAAATTCGAAAAACACTCGTTTTAAAATTTCACAAAGCAATTGCAAATATTCCAGATACAGCTTTATTTTAGAGACTGAACAAAAGTACCACAATGTAAAAACATGCAGGAAGCAGGCAATTCCTGATAGTAATGGCTGAAATAACATCACCAGACATCAGGACGCAACTCCCCGCTTGCTGGGGGCATCCATCTCCCAGAGTGATATACACTTTCACCAACTTTCCAACCAGGCACATCCTTCATCACTTCTGCCTCATACTCGAGATATTTATGCCACTCTTTAACAAATCTAGAGAAAGAAACAGACAATATGGAGATGTTAAACGGTTAGCACTTATTACATTGATTTTTACGAGCTGTGTGACAATACAGATTTAGTGAAAAAACCTCATATACCTCTCGTCTTCTTCAGCCTGTAGCACAGGCAGTATGGCTCGACGAGCAGCATATTTTTCTTCCTTCAGCGCCCTATAGGAAATGAAACATTATGATACGTCAGTTTGAATTTTTGAGTGGGAACTGAAAAGAAACTCAACGAGTATGGTTCTTCCTCATTCAACTTTTTTTTTATTTTTCAATGTAACACACCACCAGCCCCCGAAACTGATCATCAGGGAAGATGAAAGAACAATGAAATCTCCGAGACACTCAAGTAGGAATAGGAAGTATATAACCAAGAATACGCACTAATTTCCTATTCTATATCTTTTTTCCCACAAGCACAGAAGATATGAACAATTTTCCATTAACAAATTTTACAAAATTGCAAGAAACTACAGGCTGCTTTGTTTCTACTTTCTAGATAAAATAAAAAATGATCCAACCTAGTTTCTTAATGCTATGTTTGGATGAAATAGAAAATAAGTAGAAAGAAAATAAGTACAAAAGAATATGGTGAGGAAAAATATATGAGATAAGATGGAAAATATGTGTGATGTTTAGATGGATAGAAATAAAGACAAAGCAGCGAGAAAATTTTACTTCACTTGTTTGGATGAATGGAAAAGAGAGTAAAAGAGACTTTTTTCACTTTTTCCTGCATGCTACGTTCTCACCTGAAAATATTTCTTGCGAAAGTATTTCATCTAAAAAATTTATTCAAGAAGATATTTTCTAGTGAAAATATTTCCCATTGTGAAATAACTTCAGTAAACATAAAAGGATCTTTCCTCCTATGATTCGTAGCCTCTCATAGGTCCATAACTAAATGTACAAATAACTGCGATTAAAATCTTTCCCTCTTATGATTCATAGCCTCAATTAACAAATTAGTCATGTAAACGTTTTATCCCAAAATCTAAAAGCACGTATCTAAATTAATAGATGTTGCTAAGGACTTAAAAAGAACCGTAGGCATTGGATAGGATGACCAAGGAAAAAAGAGAAAGATGGCTAACAATAATAACACTGAAAATTGTAGTGGACATAAAGAAAATTAGAGGTATAATGTAAAGTGATACAAAAACACGAAAACCTAATACATCTATTTATATGAATAAGAACAATGCTATGTATGTAATACAAAATCGTGCAAAATTATCACGAAATCAAGGCAGGTTAGTTACAGCATAGGATCACATTTCAGTTTCAAAAGCAATAAAAGATAATATCAAAATAAACGATGGCAATCATGCGTATTTATTATATTCTCAATAATTTCCTACTCATAAGCAATTCTGTAGGGTCAAGTTCCAGTACATGTAGTTCAAGCTCAGCCCGACTAACAATGGGACTAATATCTAATAACCATAATTGAACGAAGAAACAAATCATTAGCATAATGAAATCACGAAACCTACGGATTGATACCTCGATTATTCGCATGTTTGGTTGAACTTGTTTTAGGGAAATAATCAGTTATTTTTAATAGCTCCAAAGCGAACATTGGAAAAGAAGCGATTGATCCCTCCGAAACATGCTAACTGATATGAGAATTTAATTCTAACAGATGAGTGAAACTGTTTTGTATGTATGACATTATTATTGAGGGCAAACAGAAGAAAATACATACGTGCGTGGTCCTGATCGAGTAAATTGTATCTAATAATGAAGTGTTCAAATTGAAATAATGTGAAATGAACCCTAATGATGGGAAAGAGTAAAGGGAAGGCGATACCTGCGGATTTTGTTGCCCTGGCCAACCTGGTACATGCCCCAAGAGAAGGCACCGAAGGCAGTGAGGAAGATGGCGATGGCGCTGGGACCCTTGTTGGGGATGCGACGAGCGAACCGAACCGGAGCGAACCCACCCGGTGGTGGACCATCCTGGAGAACCGGCATATCCTTCACGCTCACCATTCCCGGTTTCTTCCTTATCGTCGCTTCCGTCATCGTTGATTCCCTCTCCTTCTCTCTGTCGATTCCACGCTCTATTCTCTGTCTGGTGTGAATTTCTCGAAATGGTACTGTACTCACTCAGTTCAGGCTTTGAATTTGGGTTCCATTTGGGCCTGGTCAGGTTGACGTATCCACCCCAGGCCCACAACTACCAAAGATCTCCTCATCGCCCAAAAACGAAAATCACATAAATTACCAACCAAAACATGAATGACGAGATTCCGGGCTACCCAAGCAAAAACCACTGCGAAGGCTCTTTCTTGGAGACTTCTCCTTTCGTGAAAGCTCTCCTTCTCTTTTTCTTCTTTATGCAGAGACTCTTCTCCTTTTTTTAGATTTTTCTTTTTTCTGTGGAGGCTTTTCACTTCTATCTCGATAGATTTTCTTCTTTTTCAAATGAAAACAAAATATCTCTTCTACTTTATCATCTCTTATTTATTTTTTAGACCATATGGTGAATATGATAAAATAAATATACATATATATAATATAAAAATAGATAAATATAAAATGGAATGATAAATTTTTATTGTAGTATATATTTCATTTATATTAAAATAGTAAAATTATAATATTATGTTATTTTTTAATATTTAAGTAAATAAAATAAAAAATAAATTACATTTTAACTCATAATATTATTCTTTTATAAAATTAATATAACTTTTACAACTAAATTTATTTAAATTTTTAATTTTAAATATGTATATTAAAATTTAAAATATGTTTATAATAATATTAAATTTTGATATTGAATGATTTTAAAATAACAAAAAAATTAATTGCAATTGATTGGATTTAATTTATAAGAACACGTTGAATATGTAAAAATAGTGTTTCATAATCCTTTTCAATATAATTACATTTGTTGAAATAAATATAAATAACATAAAAAGTAAATTATATTTCAACTGACAATATTATTCTTTTATAAAATTAATATAATTTTTAAAAATAATTTTATTTAAAATTTAATTTTTAATATATATAATATTAAAATTTCATATTGAATTATTATAAAATAACTAAAAAGTTAATGACAATTGATTGGATTTAATTTATAAGAATTAATCTAGTTTTTTAAATAATTTTATTTAAAATTTAATTTTTTAATATATAATATTAAAATTTGATATTGAATTATTATAAAATAACTAAAAAATTAATGAGAATTAATTGGATTTAATTTATAAGAATGTGTTGAATATATAAAATTGTTGTTTATGATAAATGTTTTATATTCTTAAACTCTGCTTATTTTAAATTATTTTTAAACAAAATTATTTAATATAACTTGTGTTAAGGCTATTTACAATATTTTATACATTACTTTACGTCATGGATATTTTTCTCAGATACTTGAATAAAGTATGTAGGTTACTTCTTAATTTTTTAAATTCATAAAAAATAACTAAAAAAATAATGAAATTTAGTTGTTTTTAATGTAAAAAATGTGTCAAATATATTAAAAGATGTTGTGTACAACAAAGTATTTTGTAATATTTTTCAATATAATTATATTTAATATTATAAAATAGATTTAAATTTTGTTACTATTTAATAAATAATAAGTTTATGTAATTTTATTCCTTTATTATTTAAAAATATAAATAAGCCTTTAATATAACTTGTATTAAGACTCTTTACAAAATGTTATACATTACTTCAAGTTATCTTTCTTAAACAAAATATATATCTATTTTTCATTAAAAAAATATATCTATTTGGATCAAGTATATAGGTTAATTCATAATTTTTAATATTTATAAAAAATAAAAATATCAACAATAATTAATTAGGTTTAATATTAAAAAGCATATAACATATATAAAAAGTGTTTTATGCAATAAAGTATTTTAGAAATTTTTATTGTAATTATATTTAATATAATAAAATTTTATTATTATCTAATAAATAATAATTTTATGATTTTTAATTTTATTTTAATATTTTTAATAAATATTTTTTAAATAATTCCATTAAAAATTATAAAGTCGTGCAAGTATTAAAAAGTAATTTTAAACGTGTTAAGATATATTAAATATATCATATTAAATATTTTTTATGATTTTAAGACATTGAATATTTTTATATTAATAAAATTTTATTTTTAATTTTATACTACATAATTTTGAGCATACTACAAATAATTAAAAATTATGTTAAAAGTAAGTTCATATCATCCTAAAATACAATTAGATATTTAACTTGTTAAATTATTATTTAACAAGTTATTCTTATACATTTTTTAATGATAAATTTTATTAATACAAATTGAAATATTTTATTTTAAAATAAACTAAAAATAACTTTCATAAATGATAACCCGTCATTCATAAATTGTTTTAAGTTATTCCAAAGATGTCGTATATTTCATAAATTTTCCGTATATTATTCCTAAGGTGCCCTTAAACGGAAAAGCAGTATTATAACACAAGCCAGTATGGGTCATAGATCCCGTCCGTTAAATTGCTTAGTAACATATCGTACGGCCACTGTTAAATCATCATGCTCCAATGGAAACCTGGTCCATATTACAAGTCGCCCAACCCTAAAACCCTAGAAGGCGCTTGTTCTAGAGCCTTCCTCTTCATTTCTTAAACCCTTCACACAAACGCACCCTCTGGTTTGTGGGTTTCTCTCTGTGCATTGTTTACTTCTCTCTCCCTCTTTCTCGCGCAATTTACATCATGTATCGCTTGGCTTCTAGTCTCGCCTCCAAAGCTAGGTCAATCTTCATCCCACTCTTTTTTCATGTTTTTTTTTTTTTCAATTGGAATTAATTGTCTCTTTGATCCTTACAATGACAATGTTCTTCTAAATGTTAATTCATGTTTCTTTGGTTGCAGGATTGCTAGGAATAGCAGCCATCAGGTGGAACAGCAATCCATTTTTCTTTAGTGTTATCACTTTTTTTTAAGATTCTTTTAAACTAAAATATCTCTATTATTAATATGGTTGCAGTATTTAAAATACCCTTACTATTAATATGGTTACAACAGAAAAAAAAAAAAAAGATTTAAATGGAAGTTAGTGACAACCAACAGACCCTGTTGTTTTTATAATGTTTGTTGACATTTGAAAATGTTTTGGAGATTGTGTTTCATGGATGGTTTCCTTTTCTGTATTGTGTAGGTCAGTTGGAGCAGAAACTATGCGGCCAAAGACATCAAATTTGGTGTGGAGGCTCGAGCTCTGATGCTTAGGGGCGTTGAAGAGCTTGCTGATGCTGTCAAAGTAACCATGGGTCCTAAGGTAATTCACTTGATTGTTTGTTGGTTTTGCACTCATTGTTGACACTGATGGATGGGGGAAGTTATTGTTGGTAAAGTTGAAAGAGTAACATTGCTTATCCCTGATCCTTATGAAGTATATTCTTGCTCTTTTGAGGAACAAGAATCACTATTTAACGGAAGAATGAACCATACTAATGCGTTTGTTTTGAGTGTGTAATACCATCATTCGATTGTGTTGATGTATTGTTTATTATGTTTTAGGGCCGTAATGTGGTGATTGAGCAAAGTTTTGGGGCCCCTAAAGTGACCAAAGATGGAGTAACTGTTGCCAAGAGCATTGAATTCAAGGATAAAATTAAGAATGTTGGTGCCAGTCTTGTAAAGCAGGTTGCAAATGCTACCAATGATGTGGCTGGTGATGGTAAGCTATATATCTGAAGAATATATTTCTGTATAGTTAAATTTTCACCATTGGTTGCGGTGTTATTTACACAATGCTAGGTTGCATGGTTCTGTGAAATTTGGCATCCATCTTAAGTTGTGCTAATGATGTTAGAAAACCATATACTAGCATTCAGCAGGCCGGTATTATGCAATTTGGTTGGTGATGTCATGATGACAGAATAATGAGGGAGCATTTCAAATGTTTTACAGGAACCACATGTGCAACAGTCCTTACTCGAGCAATATTTACTGAAGGATGCAAATCAGTCGCTGCTGGAATGAATGCAATGGACCTGAGGCGTGGTATAACTATGGCTGTTGATGCTGTGGTGACCAACCTGAAGAGCAGAGCACGGATGATTAGCACATCTGAAGAAATAGCGCAGGTTTGTGAATCAAACTTTTTTAGTGCCTCCTCTCCAACATTGCAGGAAATGCTAATAAGGACTCTCTGGGTTTTCAGTTGAGTCTAGTGGCATCAAGTAATCCATGTAGTTGACCTCACCAATGTATAAAGGCTTTGTTTTATATTTGTTGTTGGATTTCTAATTTTGAATTTGTTTTGATAGGTTGGGACAATATCTGCTAATGGGGAGAGGGAAATTGGTGAGTTGATTGCAAAAGCTATGGAGAAAGTTGGCAAAGAGGGAGTAATCACAATTGCAGTAAGTTTTTATCTGATCATCTTATTGATATTTATTTTATGCCTTTTACCTTACACATGGAAAGACAGTTATTTATTTTTCTTTTCTGGGAAAAAGGGATGGGGTTGTTTAATAGTCTTGATAATGCAATGACCCAAGAGGTTTCTTTTGAAGTTTTCTTTTGTTCCCATTCTTTTCTCCGCCACATGGTTCTAGATTGCATCTTGGCCATCCATTATGGAGTCATTTCTTTTCATTCTCATATCCCAGACTCCCATTTGGTTTGAATTATTATGTCCGGTCTTTCTGTACCTTATGAGACCTTATTGTCGAACTATTTCAGGATGGAAAAACTTTACATAATGAGTTGGAAGTTGTTGAGGGAATGAAGCTTGATAGAGGCTACATATCTCCTTATTTCATAACAAACCAGAAGAACCAGAAATGTGTACGCTCTTTCTTTACCTCTACTTCACATTCACAACATTAGAGTATTTATTCAAGGATTTTATTAAGTGCCTTGTTCATGAACCTTTAATTGTTTTTATACACTTTTAACAAAGTTATGTGTGTGCCAACAGGAACTTGAGGATCCTCTCATTCTAATTCATGAGAAAAAAATATCAAGTATTAATGCTGTAGTTAAAGTTTTAGAGTTGGCTTTGAAGGTGAGCAGTGTCATTCACTTTCTTTCATCTTTTGACTTTTAAAATATTGACATTATCTGACACCTACCCGTCTCCAGAGACAAAGACCATTATTGATTGTTGCCGAGGATGTGGAAAGTGATGCACTTGCAACTCTTATTCTAAATAAGCTTCGTGCTGGAATTAAGGTGTGTTTTGCCTGTCTGTAGGTTAGGATTTTAGTTGTTAAGTTCCTAAAAATTTGGATCTTTGATTGTTCTGAGTTGATTTGTTATATGCGATGCTTTGCTGTAGGTATGTGCCATTAAAGCCCCTGGTTTTGGTGAAAATAGGAAATCTGGTCTTCAAGATCTTGCAGTTCTCACGGGAGGAGCAGTAAGTTCACTGTTCTT